AATACCTTATGTTGACATAAACTTTATGCATTAATTTAAATATTGCCGACCATCGCTTCTTGTCTCATGTCTTGATTGTTGTCGTCGGGTCGTGCTCATTTAGGAACTAAAATGCACAATAGCTCAAAAACATTGGAGTATTATGATGACCATTTTAACAAGAATGAAGAAGTTTCAGCTCAGAATCTAACAGGGAGAAACAAGTTGGATCTAATAAGTCTCTTTGAATGTCCTGTTTGTTATGACTATGCCACTCCCCCAATTATTCAGTGTCAAAGTGGGCACATAATTTGCGAATCATGTAGGCCGAAGGTTGATACTTGTCCCACCTGCCGTGGTATCCTAGGTAAGGCTACAATCCTTCACTGATTTGCGCTCAGGAAATATAAGAAATTTGGCATTGGAAAAATTAGCCGTTAGCGTCAGATTTCCGTGCAAATATTCTGCATGCGGCTGTACAGAACTGTTACACTACCAGCACAAGTCGCTTCATGAAGAAAACTGCTACTTCAGGTAGTCTCCTACGATCGTAACTTTTAGATCTTGTAATTGCCCCTGCCCTGGAACTTCCTGTCCGTGGACTGGACAGTTAGATAAAGTCATGACACATCTGCTCATATCGCACAAAAATATAACTACCCTTCAGGGAGAAGATATTGTCTTTCTAGCAACTGACATCAATCTCCCTGGATCAGTCGACTGGGTCATGATTCAAACCTGTTTTGGTCATAATTTCATGCTAGTACTCGAGAAACAGGAGCGACTCAGAGAACATCGGTTTTATGCTCTTGTTCAGATGGTCGGTAACCAGATGCAGGTTCAACAATTTGTATACAGGTAGTTCAAAGTTTAATTTTCAAATTTTAGACTTGAGTTGAGGAGATTCAAACGTCGACTCATCTGGGAAGCGGTTCCGAGAAGCATACACTTAGGCCTTCAGTCAGCCATCGTTGATTCAGACTGCTTGACCTTTGACTCGAACACTGCCCAACTTTTTTCAGAAAACGGGAGCTTGGCTTTTAATGTTACAATTTCTGAGGTAAATCCTAAGGAGTGTTAAAAACTGGCTTTCAAAGAATTAGCAATCTGACCTAGGTATTGTGTGTACTTTTATCCTCCAAATATTCTTTTTATGAGAATTAGTTTTTCCTTATTTATTTTAGGCTCGAGCTACTTTCCATCGTCCAGTCAACGAAGGCCTTTGCTCCTTTTCATCCAGAGAAGATGCAGATGAACTCGGCGACTCTAGACACCAGCTACAATCTGCCCCTTTTCAACCTTCTGCCCCTCCACTTGATCTATTGCCACCCATAGATTCTGACTCAATGGCCCTCGACTTGGTTTCTCCTAATCTCGCCATCTCATCCAGAGATCAAATGACCTCAGATGAAAATTCCGGAACAGACCTAGCAATTGCCGATTGTGGAACGGAATATGTGCGAAATCATAGCCCTTCACAGCCAGTCCCCCATCCTCGGCAGCCTTTCAACTCTGGATCAAACAGTGGCGCTCGTCGTAGCCACACCACATCGGGCCAATCTTTGAACAATTCTGCCTCTATCCAGGAATTTGCGACCTCTTCTCTCGATAATAAGATCAGTTAGATGAACCAGGTTGGTAATTTTCCATGCCTGCGTCGTTAGGCCATTTTCAATCATATTTCCTGGCATAATCAGCTTGTTTAAATTATATATATCTACTAAATCACCAAATACTATAACTCGATGTTCGCTTAGTGGATGTAAATTTTGCCTCGGTTAAGTGTCTTTTAAAAATGACTCCGACAAAGATTCTTTCACAAAGTGAGAGCGTTCGCCCCAGGAACACGCTAGACTAAGCAATAGATTGGGTCGATAATCAGACGTCAAAAATGAGGCTACATCCAGTCTTCTCGAATTTGGCATAAATTCAGCCACCATATATACATATTTATAATTATGCATTTCCTAACAGTTGATAGATTCTAGTCATAATTCACTAACTCCAGATTTATGATCTTTTCATTCCACTCTCTTCTAGACCAAATGAGCCATTCCTACGCTCTCATTTCCTTTTTCAGATGCCACTGCCCTACGAACTTCAGTAGAGTCCCATTTTCTTAATGAGCGAGTCCGAACCAAACATGTACAGCTGATTTTTATAAGTTGTGTTAACGGCAACTGAGATGCATCCGCTGGCACACTTGTCTTGATGGAGAGGATTTTGCGTATTTTTTCCTTATTTCCATATACTTGATATTTTTATCTTCATTGCATATACGAAATTTGAGGAAACTCACATAAAACCCGGCTTCGATGTTGCTTCTTTAACGCACAAAATGGTGCAAGGCAAAGGTTTTCCTCGTATAATAAAAAGTAGGGCCTCATTTTTTTAAATTGATTCTGATCATGCATATCAGAATTGGTAATCTAAGTTCGATCATAAGGAGGTTTGTACTAGACATTTGCGAGCAGTTGGAAGCAAAATCCTTGTCGAATCATGTAAAACTTAATCGACTGAGATGAGGCAGAAGTTGTACTCAAGCCTGGACGAGGATACCTTTTGATAGGCTGAGCTAAATAAAATTCAACATAGATTTTGGGAAAACTGGCTACAACTTAGCCAGTTCAAACGGCAGAAAACATGTCATAATCACAAACAGGATGTGTTGCCATCCAGTCGGATCGGCTGAATAGTTTCAACATTTCCCTTCAATCCCTCAGGTAGTTTCAAGACGTTTTAACAGTTGAATTAAAAATAGTGTACGAAATTGGCCAAAAAAATTCATCCTGGCATACTACACTAATTCCTCAAACCATATATTTCACGGACGGACAAATATCTGAGCCGCACTCTGTATTAAAGCCAAGTAGTATAATCGGCTGATCGGTATTCTAGAAACTAGCTAATTAGCTGTCCTGGAATTAGGGGTACCCTTTCGGATTTAACTATTATCACCCAGGTTACACAGTAGTGCCGTTTTTAAATGCAATAATAATCAAAACTCGGTGTTTTTCTGTATACGATGGAATAGGACATGCGCCCTTCTCAAATGGCCTGTACCCTTGGACTCGGAGGTACGAGGCAAAACGTTACGCTTTTATAAAATCCTGCTAACAGTTTAGCAAATGAAAAATAAAGT